TATTAATACCATCTAAACCATTTTTAATGTCTTTCTTTTGGGTGGGGACAGAATCTCATTCTGTCACCCAAGCTAGCATGACATGGCATCAGCCTAGCTCATATCAATCTCCAACTCCTGGGTTCAAGGGATCCTTCTGCCTCAGCCTCCCAAGTGGCTGAGATTACAGACACCTGTCACAATGCCCCACTGAATTTTAATCTTATCTATTATCTTTTGTTTGGATCTTTCTTTCATGTCTCAATTTAACATTTTGAACATATGAAATGTAGTTATAATAACAGTTTCACTGTCCATGTTTGCTAACTCTAACTTCCATGTAAGTTTTGTGTCAGTTTCAATTGATTAATTCTATTTTCATTGTGGGTAGCATTTTTTTGTTTGTTTCTTTAGCTTTGTTGTTTAATAGATTGCTAGATATTGTGAATTTTACCTTATTTTGTGCTGGTTGTTTTTTATTCCTATAAATATTCTTACGCTTTGTTCTATATAATTGAGTTAGTTAAAAATGGTTTGATTCCTTCAAGTCTTGCTTTTAAATTTTATTAGGCAAGACAAAAGCTGTGTTTAGTGTGAGACCAATTATTCCTCACTGATGGAGTGAAACTTTCTAAGTACACTACTCAGTGCCCATGAATTATGAAATTCTTCAATCTGGCTGGTGGAAACAGGTGCTATTTCTAGTACAGGGCTCTGTCCCACTACTTCTTTTGGATAGATTTTTTCCCCTGTCCTTGGGAAGTTTCTTCTTGCAAATGCTAATCAGTATTCATATACTTGAGTAAGACCCTCCGTAAATCTCTGGAGTTCTCTTTCTATGCAGCTCTGTTTTATTACTGTCCTGTCCTGCAAAAAAAAAAAAAAAACTGCGATGGCCTTGTGTGATGGACTCCCAGCTCCATCTCCTCAACTTGTGGTGTTCACTGAGCTTTTTCTGGGTTCTGGGTTCCCTACCCTTCACCATGTGACAAGAATTCTTTCAAGGTAGTAAGCCAGGACAGTTGTAGGAGTCACCTCATTTGTATTCTGTCTGGGATCACTGTTTTAGTTTTTTGTTGCTGCCATAACAAATTACCACAACCTGTGTGATTAAATACAAATTTATTATCTTATAATTCTGTATATCAGACCTCTTCCATTCTCTTCCACAACCCCTCCATTCTGAAATGGAGTCCTGATGACATTTTGAGTTTAGCTCAGTGAAAGCCCTCATTCTTGGGGCTTTATTTCCTCCCTACTCTTGGATAAAATCTGGAGCAATTCCACTGAATTTTCTGGGTGCTCTGTCTAATCAGTTGGTCTAGTATCACACAGCACCAGTCAGGACCAGCATAAACATAAGTCTTGAGCTCATATCCATGTCAAAGTTTTTGAAGTCTCCATTTCAGAACTGTCTGGAAAAACTCAGCTTTCCTCACCTCTTCTTCTCTCCCCCCAATCCCAAGAAAAACTGTTTATTATCCCACTAGAGTTGGACTTAGGAAGGAAGGATTGAGAGAAAAGGCCACAGTGTTGCTATTAACATATGGTTTGGGGGCTTTCTATGCTGCTGTGGTGCAATTCCTGAGGCTCTCTCTCTACTAAACAATGCTGTGGGGGTTCATTGGACATGCCATCTGCTGGCAAGACTGTAGGTCTCTTGACAGAGGGAAGGCTCCCCCCGGGAGTCACTCCCTACTTTGGGGTTTGATGCCCTGGACCCTTCCCTCTCAGCAGGGTACTTTGACTCCCATTGTACGACCCAGAGAAGGTATAGCCACATCCCCACATCTTCAACCCTTTGAGGGACACTTGTCATATTTCTGCTGTCCCTTCTTAAAATTCTTCTTACAATATAACTCCCATTTGGCTTGGGCTGAAGGGCAGTTCACCTCCTTTCCTACGTGCATGTCTGTGTGTGCCCATGTGTGTCTCAGAGGAAGCTCAGGGAATGCAATCACCTCTCCGTAAGAAGCCCTCTCTCTCTGTCTCTCTTATGGGTGAGGGGTAGAGGATTAGATAATCCCTTCAGTAGGTCCTGCAACAAGGGCCCTGCATTTAGTAGACTTTGGGGCTAGTTGGCACCTACTGTATTATTTTTGACCTTTGGAGGCCAAGCCAAGACCAAGAGAGCCCCATTTTAGTATTCAAAATTATTGCCTAACCTTAATGATCTGTCCCAAATCTTCACCCACTTTTCCATTGTATTGTTTACCCTTTGTGATTTGTAAGAGCTATTTTGGGCTACTAATTTTATGTTTGTTAGAAAATTCACGTTACATGTTTCTAAACTTTATTATGTCTTTTGATCTATGGAAGTTTTGAAATTTTATGAGATTAACCTCTCAGTTATTTCCGTTATGGCTTCTGGGTGTTGGATCTTCCTTCCTTAGGAAGGGACTCTCCACCCAAAAGTTGTAAAAATAATATCTCCCCACAAAGCTTTGATGTTTTCTTTTTTTACAGTTAGCCCTTTAAAACATATATTTTTATGTTTATATATAAAAAAAATACATCCTAGCTTGGTGCAGTGGCTCATGCCTGTAATCCTAGTACTCTGGGAGGTGGAGGGAAGAGCATCATCTGAGCTCAGGAGTTCCATATCAGCCTGAGCAAGAGCAAAACCCTGTCTCTGCTAAAAATAGAAAAACTATCTGGGCATGGGTAGTTTCAGGTGCCTGAAGTCTCAGCTACTTAGGAGGCTATAGCAGAACTGCTTGAACTCAGGAGTTTAAGGTTGCTGTGAGCTAGACTGATGTCACTGCACTCTAGCCCAGGTGACAGAGTGAAATTCTGACTCAAAAAAATGCATTACTACAGCAAAAATGCCAACGTGGAATATGTACCTAAGTTAACAGTGTCTTCTCTTTTCACCTCTAAGTTACCTGCTGTAGGTAACCAATGCTAATCATTTGCTTACACCTTTCTTTGTGCTCATACAAATATATATTGTAATTAATGGAATTTGATTTTATCTTGTTTAACTAAAGGGGAAAGGTGATTTTTAAATACCTTTGAAGCAAATTTTTTGCACTTTATTATAGATTTTATTACAATGTTTAAAAATATTTTTAATTTAAATTTGTATTGAGCTAACTGTAGACTCACATGCAGTTATTAAGAATAATACAGAGCCTGTATACCTTTAACCTAATTTCCTCCAATGGTAACATCCTCCAAAAGTGCAGTACGTGGTGCCACATCACAAGGATAGTGACACAACTAGGAGAGTGAAGCAATCTGGAGATTTTATTCCTGTTTTACTTGTACTTATTTGTATGTGTGTCTTTCTGTACAACTTTACCCATGTAACTATGTGTGTAGGTTCCTGTATGCACCACCACAGTGAAGACAGAATATTTCCACCATCATCAGGACTCTGCTGTTGCCCTTCCATAACTACATCCAACTCCCACCAGCCATCTCCACACCCTGCACATTTCTTCACCTTTCTCCATCCCTGGCAACCGCTAATCTGTTCTCTATTTCTATAATTTTGACATTTCAAAATGTTATATAAATGGACCATACAGTACATGATCCTTTGGAACTGACTTTTTTCATTCAGCATAGCTTGCTTCCTTGCTATTCATCCAGGTTACTGCGTGTATCAGTATGTCATTCTTTCTTTATTGTGTAGTACCATCCCATGGTATGGGTTTACCACAGTTTGTGTAGCATTTGCCTGCTAAAGAACACCTGAACTGATTTTGTTTGAGGCTGTTACAAATAAAGCTGCTCTGTGCACGTTTTCATGTAAACACAAGTTTTCTTTCTCTGGGAAAAAATTAAAAATAAAATTTCTGGATCATATGGTAATTGCATGTTTGGTTTTATAATAAATTACTCAAACTAGTTTCCATAGTATAATTTTTATTTGTTTGTTTTTGACTTTCAGGCGAAGTTTAAAGAAAGGGAACTGAGACCTGCCTGGCCAAAGATGGTGGCTACCCCAAGAGTGGTTGGGAGCTTGTTTTTATGTAGGTATAAGGGGAGGGAGATTCCACAGGTTGTTGGAAGGCTTTGGAGAGCTACAGTCTTTCTGGCAGAATTCTTGGGGTGAGACCAGGTTAAAATATTTTAAAAAAATATTCTCTTGAGATCTGTTATTAAATATTTGTGTCCCCCACCCCCTCAAATTCATATGTTGAAATTCTAAGCTGGTGGTATCAGGAGGTGTGGCCTTTAGGAGTTGATTAGGTCATGAAGGTGGCACCCTCATGGATGGGATTTATAAGAAGACAGCTGAGAAAGATAATTTGTCTCTTGGCCAGCTAAGGGTATAGTGAGAAGATGGCTGTCTACAAACCAGAAAGAAAGCCCTCATTAGACACCAGAACTGCCAGAACCTTGATCTTGGACTTCTTAGCTTTCCTAATGGAGAGAGATAACTGGGTATTGATATAGCCACTTACTGTATGGTATATTTGTTATTGCAGCCTGAACTTGACTAAGACAAGATCCCTCCAGTTTCAGAAACACATACCTAGCCTTTTTGCATTGAATATTTCTACAACATGCCACAAGGTGGATAGAATGTAATTGATCCTGCCATCTGGGTTGTGTCAGGGTTTTCTTTTTTTTTTAACTATTGCTAATGATTTTGTAATAGATTTCCTACTCCAGAGATTCTTACATACTGGCAAGAATTTGAACTTTATTTCCGAATGCTAGATTTTCAGCTTATATATAAATACATATATATTGGTTGGGGATTCATTGAGGAGACAAAGAACCAGTTTACACTGATTGCATTAGTTAGGTATAGTCCCTCTAATAATTGTCCCACCCCCATAAGGTTGTCACACACTGTGACCTCCACCCCTCCCTCCTTCCCTTTCTCTGCTTTTCTACTCTCCCACTCTCCTCCCTCCTTCATTCTCTCTACTCTTCCTTTTCCTTATCCTCCACAGTGAACTAGGTCATTAATTGTCCTCAAATCAGAATGGAGTATATAGGATTCTTGCTTCTCCATTCTCTTGATGCTTTACTAAGAATAATGCGTTCTACTTCCATCCAGGAAAAATATGGAATACTTTAAGAATTTACATGTCATTCCTGTGCAGGGGCCATGTAATCTTCTCTGCATTATTCCAATTTTAGTATAAGTGCCGCCGAAACAAGCACAGATTTAATAATTTTCATAGATACTGTGTACCACTTTTTAAGAAGTTGTAGCAATTCACATACCACCAGCAATATATGAAATTAGCCCTTTGCCCACCTCCTTGCTAGCAATGTAAATCTTCTTAGTTTTATCCTAATATTTTATCACATTTCAAGTTACTATTTAAATTCCTTTGGAACTTACTTTGAAATGTATAATGTAGAAAGGGGATTTTTTTTTCTGTATGTTGTTCCAGTTAGCTGTCACTGCACGACAAACTACCTGCAAACTTGGGTGACCTTAAACTAATCATTTATCACTATTATCATTATTTATTCTGCTATGTGATTCTGTGGATTAGGAATTGGGACCGAGAATAGCCGTAATGACTTGTTTCAGGTCCTCAATGTCTAGACACTTAGCTGGCATGATGCAAACACTTAAGAGAATGAAACACTGGAGAGCTGGCCTATGCCTTCCTCTCTCTCTCCCTCATTGAAAGCACATATGGTGAGAATAACATGGAGTCTCTCAGGCTAGACCAGACATGACACATCTGGTCTGGTGGGGTTAGGTCCTGCTTGACCTTCACACAAGACCCTCCCCCCACCCCCATTCTCACTGTTTGGTAAATTTAGCTCCCACCCTAAAGATGCCTATCTTGAATAGTTTAGGTGGATTGATTTAGGAGATTAACTTTTGAACTGGCATGTTGTAATAGTCACCGAGTTAGGCTGACTATTATTTGGAATAGGGGTTGGTATGGTCTTTGCTTTGAACTTTTATGCATAAAACTGTCATTTTGGAAATGGAAGAACAGAACAGTCTTGGAGAAGCTACTCTCACTGCTCTCCAGAATCCCAGTCTTTTGATAAAGGTTGGTGTACCTACCCCAGTCTCTGCATATTGGCTGACAGTGACAGGCAGCCAGGCCCTCTTCATCAGGTAACACCATGTTCCTCAGCATGTCAGATGCAGGATTATCAAACCTCCCACAAGGCATGCAGCTCTCCAAAACAAAGAACCTGCTATTTTCTTGAAACCCAGAACTGTAACTGGCCCAGCATCACTTCCAACATATCTATTGGTTGTTCATCTGCCAGGGACATTCAGGAATCACTTGAGGTTTAAAGGAACAAATTCTAAATGACAAAGGAACTGGGGAATGTCGTTTAGGTCTGTTGGGCTCCTCAATAGACAGAGATCCAGAAGGGTGGGGGCTGGGGAACTGGCAAGAGAAAGAAAGCAGAGATTTTACACCTTGTTGAAAACTATAAGTTCCTTTTTTTTATTATTTTGCTATAAAGACTGACCATCCCTACACTGACATGCTATCCACGTGGTGCATAACAGTTGACATGGAATTTGATCGCCTGGCTGAGGTGGTATTTGTCAGGTTTCACCACCTTGCAGTTATCTTTAAAAATCCCTTTCTTTCTCAGATCTCCACCATGACAACCTAAAGGGGTTCCTAGTGGTAAAGCCCATGAAAAGGAGGGCTCCCTCCCACAGACTGCAGCCCCCTGGAGCTTCTCATGTTTGCTTTACTTCACATTCAGCCTCCAGGGATGCCTCAAAACTATCACCTAATGCTCCCTCCAATCTATAGCTCCAGCAGCTTCTGCATCAAACTCATCTCAGCTGTAACTCTGGACTTGCCCAGCTCCCTAGATTTCCAGGTGGTGGCTTGCACTATGACCTTGGTTTTCTGATAAGCCCCTCAAAATTGTTGATCTTCTGTTTTCCAGCTTTTTCTTGTGGTGAGGATGGGAGTGATGATTTCCAAATTCTTTATGTTTTAGAGCTGAAGGCAGAAGTTCTCTTATTTTATTCTTGAATTTCTTAGATTTCTTTCTTGTAATGTATAGAGATTATATACTAAGAAATTAGTTCTTTGTGCTATGTGTTGTGAAAGTGATTGCTTTACTTATTTCTTTTTTCTTTCTTACTGGGATAGATAATGGAAAGGTCAGAGAATTCAGTGCGAAGTGGAAAGGCTTTGCTGGAGTGACTGAACCTGGCGTCTAGTCAGACTTTGTATCCATCAAAGGGAGCTTCAAAAATTCCCTTACTCCTCCCCAGACCTCAGTGGGTTTCCACCTTTCCTCTCTCTACTTGCCTCTAGTCTCTGAGGAAGATGCACCCTCCTCTTTTTGGAGGTCAGTCCACTGCTCTCTCCCTCTTCTGGGCAGTTTCTACCCTTTCTGGGGCCTCCTCCCCAGCTGAGAATTAGATTCCTCCACTTACACCTTCCTGCATCCTGAGAGTTCTCTGTGGCTGCAACCTGATCTTGCTTTTTCTCTTTTTACAGACAAATTAATAGAAGAAAAAGAACAAAAACCAATAACTAAAAGCACTTCCACATTTTGTTCTTATATCGACTCATATACATGTACCATTGCCTGCTTCTTAATCTGTGGCCACTGGGACTCCTACTCCTAGTGCAGCCAAGATATCTTACCATTCACAGAGCTGGCCAGTGTCCTTAAGTGTTCCTCAGTGTCTACCACCACTTCTGCAGACTATACCCTTTTTATCACTCCTTACCCTTTAGAACAAAGGCCTGAAGGACTACATGGGCTGGACCTCCAGAAGTCCCTCCTCTGCAGCATGGAGCTTAGTCTGCAGGTATATTGCCACATGCATCCTGGACGTAGGACTGGAAAAGAAGACAGTGAGAAGAGGTTTTCACACATCTGCAAGAACAGTCCATGCTGACATTGTGAACCATTGTTTCCTTTCTTCAAAGGGCTAATAATTAGAGTGTTAATTTGATTTTGATTTTCCATATAAAGAAACAGGGAAAAACATTGTTTCTTCTGAGAACTTCTTTCAACATCCCAGAACCCAGGAGAAGATTCTTGGGAAGATTGATGTGAGGCATTTATATGTGGGGTTTGGAAAGGCATTATTTCCCTTCATAAATTCATGTTTGTTGCCCATGTTCTCAGCAGGCAGGGGTTGCTTACTGCCCCAGTGAGGAGCCTCTCAACAAGACATGGAGGAATTTGCATGTGTAAGTTGTCCTGGAAGGTGAAAAAGTGATGCACCAGCTAGTGCCAGCCATTTCCAAGATAAGGGGAACATGTTATGATTGCCAAGATAGTGAGTTTCAGCTGCCATGTGTCTGGAACTACAGGGCAACAAGTCAACTCACAACCGGCCCGTTCTAAATTCTAAGGAGACCGATGGAATGGACGCTGCTTAACCAAGAGTAGAAGGAAAGATGTAATGCCTGCTCTCTGATGAACCAGAGTGTGGGGATAGGGAGGCCCTGTGCATTCTGTACGCTGAGCAAGGACAAAGGTGTTCCAGCCTGAATCTCTCTGGGTGGGTTGGGATCTGATGACCTCAATGGAGGCAGTTGACAGCTGTGATATGGAGACTTCACAATTTAAAATTCAGCTTTTATGAATTGAGGTTCCCAAATGAATGCGAGTTTGCAGGAGGCACTATCTGGCTCAATAAAATTGGCAAGTCCTCATTTTGCCTTTATTTATTGCCCAGATGGTTTCCCTTGCACGGCCTTTGTAGCTGCTGCACTGATGGCTCTGTCTAGAGCTCCCCATGGGGGGCCTTTGGATGTATCACAGCCAGTCGTGAAGGAGCAAAGAAAGGAAGCCTTGGGTAATCCAGCTTTCTTCTATGCAATCTACAGTCCATTTGGAATCTACAGAGATGGGAAAGTGTCACCCCTGAACTTTGGGAATGGCTCTGAGGTCTTTCCTGATAATAAGGGAGCATCTTTATTATGGGATCTTGGATCTCTGGGTCCTTCCTGAATCACTTGGTTTGAATGGCAACTTGTCTGCTGCATGGGATGCAGATCCACCCCTGATTTGCCAGTTTAAAGAGCCTGAGTGTGTGACCTTGAACATGGGTATATGACCTTGTCCAGAGCACATGGGCTGGAGCAATGTGAACAGGCCCAGATAGGCTCCTCTCCCACCTCGGGGTCAGACGTGTCCTGGGGCAACTGGCAGGTCCCACCTCTAAGCAGAATCATACCCCATCGACAGTATGCCACTGCCAGCGGGGGGTAGGCTTGGTTTAGTTTCCAGGAAGCAAAGAGAATCAATAGGAAAGCAGTCATTCCAGAGGAGACTACAAGGGCTGGGAGCATGAGGGTGTGGGGCAGTCAGTGTGTCGTGCCAGGGCTTTCTTAAACACCAAACCTTGCAAAAGGGATGCTGGAGGGATAACGTAACCTGCTTGTCAAGAAAAACCACATATATCTTTTTAAAAAGGCATCTATTTAAGATACGGCTCACATATTATAAAATTCATTCATTTAAAATATACTGGGTTTTTGTTTATTCAGAGTTGTGTGATCATCAGCACAGTCAATTTTAGAAGATTTTAATCACGCCAAAAAGAAACCCTTCAGCTAAATTCCCTGCACCCTTCAACCAAATTCCCTCATCTCACAGTTACAGGAATCCATAAACCTGCTGTCCATTTCTATAGATTCACCCATGCTGGATGTGCCCCATAAATTAAACCATATAATATATAGGCTTTTGTGTCTGGCTTCTTTCACTCCACATGATGTGTTTGAAGGTTCATCTATACTGTAGCATGAATCAGTCTTTCATTTCTTTTCATGGCTGAGTAATATTGCATTGTGTGGCTGCACCACATACTGTCTATCCATTCATGGTGGATGCACAAGTAAGTTGTTGCCACCTTTTTACTTTTATGAATATTGTTGCCATTAACATTCATGTACAAGGATGTTTCTTGTGGACCTATGTTGTCAGTTCTCTCATGTATATACATGGACCTGGAACTGCTGGGTCATATGACAACTAGATGTTTAACTTTTGGAGGAACTGCCAGACTTTTCTAAAGCAGCTGCACCATTTTACGTTCCTGTCAGCAGTGTTTGAAGGTTCCATTTCTTGCCAGCACTGTCATTATCTATCCTTTCGGTTATGTTGTCCTAAGGATGTAAAGTTGGATCTTATTCTGGTTTTCGTTTGCATTTTTCCCTGATGGTCAGTAATGCTGAGCATCCTTC